TCCGCTCGTCCTCGCCCCGAGCGGCTGGCACATCTCCTTCCCTTCCAGTGGGGCCTGGTGTGCGGCCGCCAGGGCCTGAAGCCCGTGGGCCAGGCTGTCTTCATGGCCGGGAACCTGCTGGGCGCCCTGGCCTGGGGCCTCCTCTCCTTCTGGTGAGTCCCCTCCTCCTGCTGGCGCCTTCGGGGGATGAGCATGGAGTGTGCGCGCGTGTGTGGGTGTGTGCGTGCATGCGTGTGCGTGTAGGAGTGTGTGCATGTGCATGTGTGCATGCATATGTGTGTGGGCGTGCATGTGTGCATGTGTGTGTGCACGTGTGTGCATATGCAGAGGCGGGCAGAGGTACAGAGATGTCGCGAGAGGGTTCATGGTCCCTAAGAGGGGACTCCTCTGCTTGGTGCCCAGCACGCAGGCCTCGGCTCCAGGCTCCTCCTCAGAGGGCCTTCCAGGCTGGCCGAGCTGGGATCCTGCCGCACCCTCAGCAGAGCCCCCTCTGCGGCATCACCATGAATCGTGTCCCCACCAGACGTCGCTCCGAGAAGGCAGGGGCTCAGGTGGGGCGTCCCCAGTGCCGCCGGTGGCTCAGTGATAACATCATAAGTGGATGGAGGGTTTCCCAGCTCTGACCCCAGGCAGCGGTCCCTGCGGTCCCACCGCTGAGTCCCCATTCCCGCTCGCGTGTCCTCGATTCTGAAGCGGGTCCTCCTGTGAGGGGGGCCCGGCCCCCGCCCTGGGGTTGCTGGTTATCATAGTGAGTGAATCACGTGGAGCTTGGGCCAAGCTGGCACAATGCTGGCCTCGTGCCATGGCTCTCTGTGGGCCTGGCAGGGCCGAGCCACCGGGAGGGGTGTGCAGCCTCTCCTCCCTCCGCGGGGCGATGGTCCGCGGTCCCTGTGAGCCGGGTCAGAGCCGGTGTGACTCTGGACGTCACCGGGTGGGCCGGCGTCCTCGCTCCGGGTGCTGTTGCCCCGGTTGCTGCTCAGACAGGCAGGGCCCAGGCCTGCCCTCCTCTCTCCCATCGAACACGCGCTTAGCTGGACGCAGGCAGCGGTTCAGGCTGGCAGGCCCCGGGCTCAGCCCCCGTGAGCGTGTGGACACCAGGCGGAGGCCCTCCAGGGGGTGTGGGTCGTCTCCTGGGAGCCCCTGTCACCAGCACAGACAGGCGGGGAGCTAGCTGCCCGGCTTGCCCAGGGCCCCCTGTGCTCAGCTTCAGTCCCTTCGCTCAGTGTCTTGATTTTCACAGCAGCACTACGAGCATGTCATGGTGAATGCCTCCATTTTACAGATGGGCAAACTGAGGCTCTGAGACATTGAGTCATGAGCTCAAGGTTACCCAGGAGGGGCAGAGCAGGACTCAAACCCATTCTTCTTCTTTTTTCATAATTTTCACATCAATTTTTTAATTGATTTGAGAGAGAGAAAAGAGAGAGAGGAGTTGTTCCACTTATTTATGCATTCACTGGTTAAGTCTTGTGTGTGCCCTGACCGGGCATTGAACCCACAACCTTGGCATATTGGGACAATGCTCTAACCACCGAGCTACCCAGCCAGGGCCCAAAGTCCATTCTTGACCGTGAGGCTATGCTGCCCGCTGAGAGCAGGCGCTGCCGTTTCTGTGTCACGCAGTCGCACGTGCTCCTGGGTTCCGAGGAGGTGCCGCCTGCACTGGCATGGGCACATGTGGCTCCTACAGGCCCCCTGGGTTCTGAGAAGGAGGTGCCGCCTGCACTGGCATGGGCACATGCGGCTCCTGCAGGCCCCCCTCATTCCTCCATGTCCCAGGGCCCTCTCCAGGCCCCGCTCTGTGCTTCTCCCCAAACAGGTTTGGGCGGAATTCCATGCTGAGCTGGTGCTGCCTACAGGTGGCCCTGGCCAACACCAGTGCCATCTTTGCCCCCAATTTCCTCGTCTACTGTGGCCTCCGGTTTCTGAATGCTTTCGGACTGGCCGGCATCATCCTGACCTCGACCACACTCAGTGAGTCACCGGCTCGGCCCGCCTCCTGTCCTGGGAGGAGGGGAGGGTGGGGCTCAAGGCCACCGCTCGGGCCCTCACCTGCCCCTCCCTCGCCTTTCAGTGGTGGAGTGGACCACGACCCGCAGGAGGGCGGTCACCATGACGATCCTGGGATGCACCTACTGCACAGGCCAGATGGTCCTGGGTGGTCTGGCCTTCGCCCTGCGGGACTGGCGAGCCCTCCATCTGGCCACGTCGACGCCCTTCTTTGCCATCTTCCTGATATCCTTGTAGGTACAGTGTGGGGCCTTTTCCCTTGGGGAGAGCATCGCTGAACGGGAGGGGGACCCTGGCTGGCAGCGGGTTCCAAAATGCTGAGAGCCTTGGAAGGGGTGATGTGAGCAGAGCCCTGGCTGGTGATGGCTGGTGAGAGACGGTCTGGGACTCAGAGTTCCAGGGCATTTCAGCCAGAGGTCTGAGAGCCCCATCCAGCCCACTGGCCTCCCGCACATTGGCATCATCGCGCCCTCCCCTCACCCCCCCACACACGCCCACGTCACCTGTCGTGCCTGTGGCATCCGTGTCGGTGAGGACCGGCATCAGATACGGGAAGATTCATCCTCACTATTATGTTGGTGCCACAAAAATCCCTGGGGTCTGCAAACACCTGCTGGGGTTGGTGAGCGGGGGGGCCGGGCGGGGGGGTGGGGGAGATGCAGGAAGAAACACAAGTTCAGGCACCCACAGGTTCTCTGTGCCCTTGAGTCAGTGTGGAGCTCACCTGGGCCCAGGTACGTCTAGTCTGGGGTGTAGCGAGTCCTAAGGGCTCATTCATTTCTTCTCAAATGTTTACCTCGCTCCCACCCGTGCCAGACATGGCTGTAGGCACTGCGGCCACAGCAGCAAATACAGCCACTGACCACATGGAGTTTTGTTGCATCAACAGGCTCCGTAGCAACAAGGAAGACAGCCCATAATTACACTAATTCGGCAACCCCCTCCCTCCCCCCCGTCGCACTGAGGGGCGTCCTGGGTGCTGTTGGTAACGCCAATGAGGGGCTGAGGCCCCAGAGAGAGGTCCAGAGACCTGCCCGAGGCCACACATGTGAGTGCCAGGGGCAGGCCTGGCACCCAGGCAGCCTGACTGCAAACAGGGCTGAGAGCCTGTCGGCTGGGAAGGCTCTGCCCCTTCACCAGGGAGACCCTCTCCCTGCCCATCTGCCCTGACGCTGGGAAGAAGCAGACTCGCGTATAAAACCATTCTCTTCTGACGGGGGATGTTTTCAACGTGTGATGTGTGTTTTTTGTTTGCTTGCTTTTAAATTCAGCATGACGTACGCTTTCTGCCATAGAAATGCCCCAGAAAAAAAAAGAAAGAAAGAAATGGCCCAGGATCACCCAGGCCCAGGCAGCCTGTGTGCTGGCTGTGCCCAGTGCTCAGATGGGCAGGATCCCGGCAGCCAGGAAGCCAGATGGAGTGGGCCTGGGGGAGAGGTGGCCAGGCGTCAGGGCTCATCTGAAACCATCAGGGACTGCGCCGCCCGGCCCGGCATTAGCAGTGGAGACGTGGCTGCCCACGCCCACGGCAGTGGGAGGGTCTGCCGCCCCCCGACTGGGGGAGTGCCCGGCCTGCGTGAAAGGAGCAGAGGCCCAGCAGCACCCACTTCTTTAACAGGTGGCTGCCCGAGTCCGCACGCTGGCTCATCATCACCGGCAAACCAGAGCGAGCGCTTCAGGAACTCAAAAAGGTGGCCAGGATAAACGGCCACAAGGAAGCCAAAAAGGCCCTGACCATAGAGGTGAGATGCTGCTGTTGGTGACCCAGAGTGTGGGGCATGGCTGGGAAGGGCACCCACCGAGGTCTTATCAGTATTACCACCAACTTCACCACTGCCCACACCACACCACCGCCATCAACACCCCCATACCATCACCACCTCTACAAAACACCAGCATCACCACCATTACTGTCACCTTCACTGTCTTTATCATCATCACCATCATCACCACCACCACAACCACCACCACCATCAACACCCCCATACCATCACCACCTCTACAAAACACCAGCATCACCACCATTACTGTCACCTTCACTGTCTTTATCATCATCACCATCATCACCACCACCACAACCACCACCACCATCAACACCCCCATACCATCACCACCTCTACAAAACACCAGCATCACCACCATTACTGTCACCTTCACTGTCTTTATCATCATCACCATCATCACCACCACCACAACCACCACCACCATCAACACCCCCATACCATCACCACCTCTACAAAACACCAGCATCACCACCATCATCACGACCACCACCATCACCACCACCTCCATCATCACCACCATCACCACCATTACCGTCACCTTCACCGTCTCTATCATCACTATCATCATCACCACCATCACCACCACCACCACCTCCATCATCACCACCATCACCATCACCACCACCACCAGTACCATCACCACCTCTACAAAACACCAGCATCACCACCATTACTGTCACCTTCACCGTCTCTATCATCATCACCAGCATCACCAGCATCACCACCACCACAACCACCACCATGACCACCACCACGACCACCACCATCACCACCATCACCACCACCTCCATCATCACCACCACCTCTATCTCCATCATCACCATCATCACCATAACCACCACCACCACCACCTCCATCATCACCACCACCTCTATCTCCATCATCACCATCATCACCATAACCACCACCACCACCACCTCCATCATCACCACCACCTCTATCTCCACCACCACCATCATCACCACCACCACCAACTCCATCATTACCACCACCACCACCATTGCCACCAACATCGCCGCCGCCACCACCACCATTACCACCACTGCCACCACCATTGCCACCACCATCACCATCACCACCATTACCAGTGCCACCATCATCACCACCACCTCCATATTCGCCACCACCACCACCATCATCACCACCACCACCATCACCACCACCACCACAATCAGCACCATCACCGTTGCCAAAATCATCACCATCATTACCATCCTCATCACCACATGGTTACCTCCATCATCACCACTGTTACCACCTCCACTATACCCACCATCACCACCACTATCATCATTTCTACTCAAACACAACTACCATCACTACCACCAATAATAATATCAACACCATCATCAACAGCATTACAACTATCCACACTCCACCATCACCTGCAGACCATCACTATCAACTTTATCTTCATCACCACTAGCATCACCAATACCATTACTGACATCACCATCAGCATCTCTACAACACACCATCAACACCATCACCATTACCTTCACCACCATCATGACTGTTATCACCACCACCACCACCACCACCACCAATAACAATACAACCATTATCAACAACGTATCCACGTCACCACCACCTCATTGTTCACGGCCTCAATCCACATATTGCACACTCACCTCATGGGCTTCTCCATGTATTGGGAAACAGGATCTCTTATTTGAAGGGCGCTATCTCAAGGAAGCAGGTGTGGAGGGTGTGCAGCCAAAGATGAGGGGAGGCAAAATGCCCTGGGGCGGGAGGATCAGGGAAGGCTTCTAGGAGGAGGCAGGCTAGAGCTGAGCAGGACTGAACTGAGCACAGGGCAGGCAGGGCTCAGAGGTGCCGGAGGAGGCTGGATGGGCACTTGGGGTGCAGGGAGCCCGTGTGGCTGGCACACCCCGATGCCAGCCTTGGTGAATGAGGGGGAAGGTGGGCTTGGTGCAGTAACTGCCCAGAGCAGCCTGCAGCCCAGAGGGCCAGAGCTGGGACACAGACTCTCCTTGGTTCTGAGGGGGTGGCCAGGTCTGCAGAAGAAGCTCAGCCGGAAGGCAGGGCAAACGCTGCCTGTCCCCACCCCCCTCACCCCTAGGGCTCTCCAGCAGCCTCCGCAGTCAAGGCCAGGCTCCCCCATCACTCCCGACACCATTCCCGGGCACGGGGGTGGGGCCAGCCACCGCCCCAATCCTCACGGTGGCCTGTTCTCCCCGGAGGTGCTGATGTCCAGCATGGAGGAGGAGGTGGCCTCGGCGAAGGCCCGCCAGTCGCTGCTGGACCTGTTTCGCGTGCCGGTTCTCCGCTGGAGAAGCTGCTGTCTGTTAGTGGTGAAGTACGCCACCCTCCCCTCCCCTCCGGGACACAGAGCTGCAGAGGGCGGGGGAGTGCTCCCGGGGCGCTCTGCAGCCTCCGGGGTTCACAGCGCAGGCTGGGGCATCTCTGCTCCTGTGGCTGTGAGCTGGCGACTGGGCTGAGGCTCTGGGCCCTCAGTGCCAGCCCCATGCGAGCCCACGTCCCCTTCACTCACTCCCATCGCTGACGCTGACGCGGAATCGCAGCGGCTTCACTGTGCGGCCGGTGGCGTCTGATGCGGGCACAGCCTTCGGGCAGCAGGAGGGCGGGGGTGGGTGGGGGAGTGTCCAGGTGAAACGGGATGGGACAGATTTGAAAAGTGGTCGAGAGTAAGTTCACGTCGTGGCCACTTGTGGATCCAAATTCAATCTCCAAACCGGAAATTCAGCTGCTGTAGGTTCAGAGCCCATGGCAGGGTGCCCTCCCCCCGAAGCAGACTGAGGTCCGCCAGCGGGGACCAACTGGGCAAGGGGGGCCCAGGCCGGGGCAGGGGAGAAGTCTTGTCACATTCTCAGCCCAGGCCACCCCTGGGGGCTGGGTGGCCCTTCTGCGTTGGCCGGGCCCCCCTGTCATGGGTGCCCTCCCAGCTGGGAGGCAGCACCCCAAGGGCTGGGGATGCACTTCCCACCCTGAAGGTGGGCCCAGCCGCCTGCCCCACAGAGACGCCCTTCTCTCCTGAGTCCCGTCTTTAAAGACAGAATGGCCACCGAGAGGGGCAGCGGCCTCTGGTTCCAGAAACAAAGCCAGGGGCGCTGGAGCCGGACGGGGTGCAGCTCAGCTGACCGCAGGGCCCTGGCCACCTGGCCAGTCAAGCCTCTGTCTGATGGCGGCCAGGAGCCCACCCAGCCCCTAGCCACGGCCCCGCCCTGGAACGGAGGCGGCCACAGCCCTCCCACCCTTTCCCGGGGGACAGCCTGACCCTGGGAGGCAGGTCCTGCACTGACGGGACCCCCC